GAGGGAAGTACGAGCCGAGGATGATTTGTGGAATTTCCTGATTACTTCGTCATTGGCGATGCTTTCAGGTTATGCAACTGCAGTTGAGGTGATGAAACAGGTATCTCGCCGAGGTTCGATGCGCATGCCCGCTTTTTTGATCCGTGGCAAGTGCAGACGTGGTCTCTTGAGCCAGTTCGGCGTGCAGAGAGAGATCAGGATCGAAAGGACCCCGAGGGAAGAACAACAACCAGGAGATGTTTTACCGATTGTTGTGGGATGGTGGTAACGTAGCCTATTATAAAAACTGTCTTGACCAAGGAGGACATCTTTGCAGCGACCTCATCGGCAGAGCATGTGGGGGACATGTTGGAGTTTTGGCTTGGAATGCTAGATCTGGCGATTCAGTTCCCGACGATGTTTGAAGGATGGGGCCCGAGCATTGTCAACTGGCTTGCTGGGCTGGAGGAATCAATTTGGCTCTTCTCGAGTTCATGTCAACACTCTGAAACGGTCAACACCAAGAAGAAGAGGTCGCGAAAGGCAGTCATCCCACATATCGAACAGCAAGTGGTGAGCAAGGTGCTTCGTGATGCTGGCTTTGATGACCTGCTGAACAAATGCGAGATCACTCGTATGCCGAAAGCGCCAGAGAGAGCTGTTGGAGATGATGATTGTCCCATGGAAGTGTCGTCTGAAGAAGGTGAGGAACAAGAGGAAGATGACGTGCTGCCCCCGGCACACGACACTACTCCCGACCCTGATGATGATGGCATGGAACGTGAGGAGCAGGAGGAGGATATTGAAATGGAGGAAGATGATGAAGGTGAAGAGGGACATCCAAGTGTGGCCAAGAAGAGACGAGTTGAAGTACGAGGTCTCATGGGAAATTTCGATCTATTGATCGAAGCGGCCACATCCGCATCTTATTGCTTTGAATGCGGTGGTGAACATGCCCTGGAGAATTGTGACCAGGCGACAACCAACAGCATTGTGGACGCTTTCAACCTTATCAAGGCCACCACGGAAGAGCACTCCAAATCTCCAACCTTTGAAAGATCACAGACATCCAAGAAGACCGTTGGTCGACGGTCGACAGGACAAGCTTCCGAAGAATGTGATGCCATCTGGCAAGAGGTGGAGGAGATCAAAAGTGATCGAAACGGAGGAAGGCAACAAGATCCTGTATTTGCAGCCAATTGTATGAAGTTGGTGACAGGTGAGGGAGGTGAACTTCTCGTCAACGACGTGTGTATCACAAAAGGAGGAGTAGAGCCCCGAGATGAGTTGGACCTTCTTGTTGAGCGAGCCTGCAATGAGTCTCCACCATCAGTCCCGTCCGTCCATGAACTTCTTGAAAAGCGATGGGAATTGCCAAAAAGTCATCGAGAGGTGGAGCAACCTCATGAGGGTGGTCTACACAGAGTTCAGGAATTCTCACAGAGTCCGAGAAAATATTCTCGCTCTGAAGGTGACAAGGGGAGAGCTGAGACAACTCAAACGTACTGAACCCCGACGTGGGTTCCTGGAACACATCAACCGAAATAAGCTTCGCATTGAGATCGGAGATGACGACCACGAAGTGTGGCTGTGGCCTGTAGCTATCAGGGCGCCCAGGGACACTCAATGTGGTACACGGACCCCACGGATGGAGGCTTCTACAGAATGATGGTACGCGGGGGGACAAGACCAAGTGGTCTGTTCAGTGGAAGGAACAAAGAAGATCGCCACAAATCAACTGGTTCGACGAACTGATTGACAATCTCATCTTTGACCCAACGTCACCAGATGAACCTGAGGTGAGGCGGCTCGTGGATATGAAAAAAGCTCATCAATCGTACTCGCTCCGATTACATCCAAAGCTGCAACGATGGACTGAAGCCATTTCTTCCTGACGATGGTGCACAAACCTGTCAAACCAGGATGCAGATTGTGCCCGGCACGCCTCTCGGAAACTCCGGCGGTATTGTCTATGTACATCTCTTCCAAGGGATACCACATCAGTCATGGATGGCGACAGAGACTGAACAGCCATCACTGAAACTTTCGACAAGGATCTTGAGACCGAAGACGTGAAGGACCATGCGAAGCAAGCATTGGAACATGTAAAGGAGGAACAGGACGTCGATGATGATGACGAACTTCCAGCAGAGGAGCCAGTCCTGGGGGGTGCCAAAGAAAAGAAGGAGGATGATGATGACGATGTGAGCACTTCAAACAAGAAAGAATGGAAAAGGGTGAAAAGGATGAGGTGGATGAGTTCCTTGATGAAGAAAAGAAAGAAACCGAGGAGAAGGAAGCTGCTGATAATGAGGAAATGGACATTGGAAAGTTGAAATGCAGCAAGGTCAGGGATGCAATGGAATTCCCCAAATGGATGGTGAGAGTCCAATTTGGCTCGGAGACCCTTCCGGTAAACCCATGTGTTCTTGGAGACGCACAGCCTGACCTCATCAATGTGCTTCTGCTTTCACCCGGGTCCAACCTTGCACACATCATCAAGAACTTCCGCCGAAACTACTGCGGACCTGTCGAAGAGCTTTGGAGACAGCATCAATCTCACAGTGATCTGCGTATCGACTGACTTAGACCCAAAGATTCCATTCCTGGGAGAAGATGAACATGGGAACCTGATTGAACGCGACGAGCACCATCTGAAAGTCCAATATCAGAGAATTGGCAAGCCTGGACAAGCAGGAGACCTGGGAGAAGATGGATTCATTCGCTCATATCGTGGTTCTCTCATCTTCAAGGAATTGGCGACCTATGTTTTGGAACCTGGGTATACTCCTGATGACTTCCGTGCGATGTCTTCATCAAAAGGGGAAAGACTCAGTCCAAAAGACACCAAAGAAGAAGAGGAAGAGAAAGTCAGAATTGCACAAGGCCAGATGGAAGACCAATCTATTTTTATGCGAACAGTGATTGCTGGAACATTTGGTGTGAATGCGGCGTATTTCTTCAGAATTGTGGATTACGCCAACACGATATTCCTCGATCCCTTGGACCTGGTATGTGCATGCCGAAGTTTTGCACATGATTTTTCAGAACGGAATGATCCTTCCGGACCCGTTGATGGCAAAACTCATGAAAATCATCGACGAATATAACAGATCGAAGCGACGTGAAGGACAACGTCCACAGTGGGGAACGCACATGAAAGACGTCCACGTGCTCGCGTTCGCCGATGCTGTACTTCCGCGGGAAATGTGATCTACGGCAACTTCTGCAAGTGCAAAAGCAGCTCCACCTCCTACTCCAAAGGTTGCACCAACATCGGCACCAACGGCACCACGCCCAGCTGCGAAGAACGTGCCTAAACATCCCTCTACACCTCCATAAAGACGGAACGGGCAACCGGGGATCAGGCGGCGGGTATCACGGATCACACTGCGGTGGAGATTGGAACTATTTCTGTAACCGACACTGGTGAATAACTTCCGACCTCTGCATATGTCCCATGCGATGATAGCAGGCACGCCATGCAATCAGTGCTCAGTCAATCCTAAGATGCCTTGAACAATGTCTTTTGAAGAGAGGAATCTGCGCCGGCATTTTTTTTTAAAGACTTCAATGTCTACGCAATATATGCATTGTCTTGAGAGTGTTGATCCTCTCTAGCCGCCTCACAACTTGTTCTGTGTGAAGCGGGAGCGTAAGATCTCTAGCTGAACACACGTTTCTTTTGTTTTGCACGAAATCCAATGGTGATGCTTGCATAGCTCAGCGGGCATGCAGCGGATTCCTGCGGAATGCATGCGGTAGAGTGCTTCTCCTACCAGGAATGCACTGATTTTCCAAATGCTGGTAGTGCATGGTTAGTGAAGGCAGTTTTGGTTGGAGAGCAAGCCGCTGGGAGCACCGACAGCTCATTAATTAGACAACGTCAAATCCTGCAGAACTATATTTATAATTCAATTTCAATTTTGGAGCCGAACCTGCGCATGGATCCCAAACTGGCACCAGTCGTGGGGTGTGTGAGTGGAATGATGGCAGGAACACACCACACTAATCCACATATAGTATGTCCAAAGTTCCGCCAAGGGGTCGGTCAGAGAATCGAATGACGTGGCCACCCCTTTGGCCCAAGACCCCTTTTACTGCAGGAGTCGCAAGTGAGAAAAGCAATGAGCGTGAGCGTCCGAACAGGTGAAACAGCTGGTTACCCTTGGGAATAACCAGCTCGCACATACATACATACATACATACATACATACATCCAGGCAGGCAGGCAGGCAGGCAGGCAGGCAGGCAGACAGACAGACAGACGGACATAATATACACAGTATATGCATGTATATAATATACCTTTAGAAACACTTCTTGCATCCAGGCAGGCAGGCAGGCAGGCAGGCAGGCAGGCAGACAGACAGACAGACGGACATAATATACACAGTATATGCATGTATATAATATACCTTTAGAAACACTTCTTGCAATATCACCCCACCCAAAAAACAGTTTCCAGTGGTTATTGTAATGTTCTTGTCGGGGGAAGTTGATCCCTACACAACCCCCAATCAATCAATCCATGTGCCCGAAGCGAGCGTCTGGCCACAATGGGTGTGTCTCAAAGTCAGGGATAATCCAAAGACAAACATAGTTGAACAGTGTTCAAAACTCTTGTTGGTTGATGATGATAGGGGATTATAGGGGATTATGCTCCCCAGTATAATGGAATGATAAAGGGATTTTGAACACTTCTCAGTTGTGTAAAAACGTGTGAAACGGGTGCTCGAGATCTTCCCCCACCCTAGATGTTCTTGTTTCCTTCCGTCTCTGTTTCAGAGTGAAAAGGCGACCTTGGTGGTGCGGTTGACAACATGGCAATGAAATTGTCAAAAGGAAATAAGTGCCAATTTGTCTACGAAAATTAGAGCGAGGATCCTGGGGATGGAGCAAGTTTAAATGCAGGTGTACTCGATGATGCAACTACGCTTGGACCGCATGTAGCGCAACAGGTGCTTCGAGAATGTGTTTCACAAAAGAGATTGCAAATTCCGCGTCTTCCACGTGTCTGGATGCTTGCCGCTGCTGGGGGCCATGCAGAATTGGTGGCTGACTTGCTGAAGAAAAAGTCTATGGCGCCTGATCTCGATGGGAACCGGCGAAGGGTGAGAAAAAACCAACGGTTTTTCTTTGAACAATCCATCGAATTGATCAACTTGGGAGAAATTCAATGTTATCTCACCACAGACCCGTATCGAAGACACGAAGTGGCTACTGGAACTCTTCTTCTCTGAGGTATATATATATATATACACGTAATTTTACACACACACATATATATATATATACACGTATATATATATATATACGTATATATATATATATATATTTAAGACTGCCAAACGTTGCTTTCTGAACTGCCTAGAAACTAGCTTCAAACTAGCTTCCAACTTTCAATTTGCTTGCCTTCCTGCACTGCCAGGTTCCCACTTGCTTCCGTCCTCTTGCAGCAGGCTTTCGTCCTGCACAGCTCCGGTCAAAGGACCCTCCCGCAGGGCTCAAACACCATGGCAGTGAAGGACGGATAAGCCCCGCGGCCGGCAGCCCAGACTGCCAAACGTTGCTTTCTGAACTGCCTAGAAACTAGCTTCAAACTAGCTTCAAACATTCCATTTGCTTGCCTTCCTGCACTGCCAGCTCCCCACTTGCTTGCGTCCTCTTGCTGGCTTTCGCGCAGGGCTCAAACACCATGGCAGTGAAGGACGGATCGGACCCGCGGCCGGCAGCCCAGACTGCGAAACGTTGCTTTCTGAACTGCCTAGAAACTAGCTTCAAACTAGCTTCAAACCTTCCATTTGCTTTCCTTCCTGCACTGCCAGCTCCCCACTTACTTGCGTCCTCTTGCAGCAGGCTTTCGTCCTGCACAGCTCCGGTCAGAGGACCCTCCGGCAGGGCTCAAACACCATGGCAGTGAAGGACGGCTAAGCCCCGCGGCCGGCAGCCCAGACTGCCAAACGTTGCTTTCTGAATTGCCTAGAAACTAGCTTCAAACTAGCTTCAAACATTCCATTTGCTTGCCTTCCTGCACTGCCAGCTCCCCACTTGCTTGCGTCCTCTTGCAGCAGGCTTTCGTCCTGCACAGCTCCGGTCAGAGGACCCTCCGGCAGGGCTCAAACACCATGGCAGTGAAGGACGGATAAGCCCCGCGGCCGGCAGCCCAGACTGCGAAACGTTGCTTTCTGAACTGCCTAGAAACTAGCTTCAAACTAGCTTCAAACATTCCATTTGCTTGCCTTCCTGCACTGCCAGCTCCCCACTTGCTTGCGTCCTCTTGCAGCTTAGAAACTAGCTTCAAACTAGCTTCAAACCTTCCATTTGCTTGCTTCCTGCACTGCCAGCTCCCCACTTGCTTGCGTCCTCTTGCAGCTGGCTTTCGTCCTGCACAGCTCTGGAAACACCATGGCAGTGAAGGACGGATCGGGCCCGCGGCCGGCAGCCCAGACCGCCAAACGTTGCGTTCTGAACTGCCTAGAAACTAGCTTCAAACCTTCCATTTAAGCCCCGCGGCCGGCAGCCCAGACTGCCAAACGTTGCTTTCTGAACTGCCTAGAAACTAGCTTCAAACTAGCTTCAAACATTCCATTTGCTTGCCTTCCTGCACTGCCAGCTCCCCACTTGCTTGCGTCCTCTTGCTGGCTTTCGCGCAGGGCTCAAACACCATGGCAGTGAAGGACGGATCGGACAGGCTTTCGTCCTGCACAGCTCGGTCAAAGGACCCTCCCGCAGGGGTCAAACACCATGGCAGTGAAGGACGGATAAGCCCCGCGGCTTCGCTTGCCTTCCTGCACTGCCCAGACTGCCAAACGTTGCTTTCTGAACTGCCTAGAAACTAGCTTCAAACTAGCTTCAAACATTCCATTTGCTTGCCTTCCTGCACTGCCAGCTCCCCACTTGCTTGCGTCCTCTTGCTGGCTTTCGCGCAGCCTTTCTGCACTGCCAGGTCCCGACTTGCTTCCGTCCTCTTGCAGCAGGCTTTCGTCCTGCACAGCTCGGTCAAAGGACCCTCCCGCAGGGGTCAAACACCATGGCAGTGAAGGACGGATAAGCCCCGCGGCCGGCAGCCCAGACTGCCAAACGTTGCTTTCTGAACTGCCTAGAAACTAGCTTCAAACTAGCTTCAAACATTCCATTTGCTTGCCTTCCTGCACTGCCAGCTCCCCACTTGCTTGCGTCCTCTTGCTGGCTTTCGCGCAGGGCTCAAACACCATGGCAGTGAAGGACGGATCGGACCCGAGCCCAGACTGCGAAACGTTGCTTTCTGAACTGCCCAGAAACTAGCTTCAAACTAGCTTCAAACCTTCCATTTGCTTGCCTTCCTGCACTGCCAGGTCCCCACTTGCTTCCGTCCTCTTGCAGCAGGCTTTCGTCCTGCACAGCTCCGGTCAAAGGACCACCCCGCAGGGCTCAAGCACCATGGCAGTGAAGGACAGATCGGGCCCGCGGCCGGCAGCCCAGACTGCCAAACGTTGCTTTCTGAACTGCCTAGAAACTAGCTTAAACCTTCCATTCAAACCTTCCATTCACTTGCCCCCTGCACTGCCAGCTCCCCACTTGCTTGCGTCCTCTTGTCCGGTCGAAGGACCCTCCTGCAGGGAAGGACGGATCGGCCCCACGGCCGGCAGCCCAGACTGTGAAACGTTGCTTTCTGAACTGCCTAGAAACTAGCTTCAAACGTTCCATTCCTGCACTGCCAAACGTTGCTTTCTGAACTGCCTAGAAACTAGCTTCAAACCTTCCACTTTTATTTGCCTCTTGTCCTTCTTCTCCGTTCTTCTCTGACGGGCTCCCCCTGCTGTAGGCAGGGGTCGGCGGATTAACCATGCAGTCATTCGGGTTTCTTATAGGGTTTCAAGAAGAGATCAAAGTCCCCCGGCCCCCCGGCCCCATGGAACAATTAATCATACAGTCATGAGGGTTTCTTATAGGGTTTCAAGAAGATACCAAAATCTCCCCAGCCCCAAGGAACAATTATTCATACAGTCATTAGAGTTTCTTATAGGGTTTCAATAAGATATCAAATTACCCCGGCCCCATGGAACAATTAACCATACAGTCATTGGATTTCTCATAGGGTTTCAAGAAGATATCGAAATCCCCCGGCCCCATGGAACATAATGCCCCATGGAACAATTAACCACACAGTCATTAGGGTTTCTCATAGGGTTTCAAGAAGATATCGAAATCCCCCAGCCCCATGGAACAATTATTCATACAGTCGTTAGAGTTTCTTATAGGGTTTCAAGAAGGTATCAAAAACATCATCATCATCATCATCACCATCATCATCATCATCATCATCATCATCATCATCATCAGTATCATCATTGTCATCGTCATCTTCATCGTCGTTGTCTCCCTCATCATCATGGTCGTCATCGTCACCGTCGTCATTATCGTCATCATGGTCATCATCGCCATCATCGTCGTCTTCATCGTCATCGTCATCGTCATCGCCATCGCCATCGCCATCCTCATCATCATCATCATCATCATCATCATCATCATCATCATCATCATCATCATCATCATCATCATTGTCATCATCATTGTCATCATCATCATCATCATCGTCATCATCATCGTCATCACAACCATCATCACCATCACAACCATCATTATCAACATCATCATCATCATCATCATCATCATCATCATCGTCATCGTCATTGTCATCGTCATCGTCATCATCATCGTCATTGTCATTGTCATCATCATTGCGTCGTCATACCCATTGTCACCGTCATCGTCATTGTCATACTCATCATCGTCGCCATTGTCATCGTCGTCATCATGGTCATCATGGTCATCATGGTCATTGGTCATCATGGTCATCATTCATGGTCATTATGGTCATTATGGTCATCATCGCCATCATCGTCGTTTTTATCGTCATCGTCATCGCCATCGCCATCATCATCATCATCATCATCACCACCAGCATCATCATCATCATCATCATCATCATCATCATCATCGTCATCGTCATCGTCATCGTGATTGTCATCGTCACCTGGACTTGCCCGGACGTTTTTTTCGAGCCCGGGCAAACCTCAAGGTCTTGTTGCGATATATACACAACATCCATCCATGCATCCATCCATCCATCCATCCCACCATCCAACCATGCATGCATCCACCCACCCATCCATCCAACCACCCATCCATCCATCATCCATCCATACATCCACACATCCACAGATCCATACAGTCCATACATCCAGACGGCCCATGCATCCATACAGGCTGACGGACATACAAACGTACAGGCAGGTATGCCTGCAATATATGTGTCATTCGTGTTCAGCACCATTCTGGGGTCGAGATTCCCCAAGTGCATATGTTCCTTTGTTGGTAGCCAGTGGGATGCTTGGTGCCATCCATTTTGTTGGGACAGCAATGCAGCGGCTTGCCGTAGCTGAGGTCAATGCAAAGACCACTGAATCTTGCACGGCCTTGAGCTTTGCCTTGGATTGCACAAACGAAGATGAACAGGCGTTGGAGTGCGTTCGCCTACTTCTAGAAGCCAAGGCTGATGTCCCTAGGACATTTCAATCACGCCATCATTTGCATTGAGGAACATTTTTAAAACAGACACAGATGAAGGTGACATTTCATTTAAGGGTATTTTTTTTTGGCGCCGAGTCCGTTGATTCTTTGGACTTACAATTGAAGAGCTTCGCAGACCAGCGATGCTGTAAGTCGGCTTCCTTTGGAATGCATTCGCTCGGGCCATGTGCGTAGCGTGGAACCAAGGTGACAGTGAAGACCGGTGTGACGCCTATGGGGCCATTTATCAACTTTTTTTTCGGCACTGGGATGCCCATTGGGTTCGGGGTGGTTTTTGCCAAGCACGAACGCAAAATGGATCTTCTTGACCGTTATGGCTACGATTGGTCGCTGAGCCTGTGCATGTGACTTTGGGAAAAGGCACGGAAGAATTCTGAGTAGATTTGCAATTTCAGGTATATTTCCTTAATTGAAGGTATGTACCTCCTGTAATTCTGTGGTCCATGCAGGGGTTCATGTAGCGGAATGAACCCCCAGAATATTGCCTCCCATGGCGCAGTACACCTGGATGGAGGCATCGAAATAACCTGGGATTCCTTTTCGGACAGTTATTTATTTGATATTTAGAAGCAATGGATTGGGGATGCAAAATCCTTCCTCAGCAGAAAACATTCTGGAAGCTGTGTTAACCATATAATTTTTGAGTTTACCTCAGCACGCTTGGGTTTCGGCAATGCCGGACTGAGATCAAGAACACAAAGCAAGAATGGTTGTGACAAGTTGTGAACTATGCAGTTATCCTTTTGCAAGCAGGTTGATGAAAAGAGAGGAAGCGCCTATTTTGGCAACGAATTGGTATAACCTACGGCCAAGTGAAGTTTAGTTCGCAAACTTCCGAGTTACGGTGAATGTCCACGATTAGTTTTGTCATCATGTCAACCACAGAGGCAGCAAACGCAGTTCGCAGGTGGGAAGAGTAGAGGAGATTCGCGGTGAAGCCACTTTTGGGCTCGCACTGTTTTTACGGGTATGGTGGGCTCCTGTCGCAAAAGTAGGGTTTGGAATGGAGGTTGCAAAATGCATCGTACTGGCTGCGCGAAGAATTGTGTTGCAGAAGCTACAGAGGTCGCAAAGCGAAGCAGGCAGCTCAGTCAGTCAGTCATCGAGCCATTGGTTCATTGTGATTTTTGTACTCATTGATTCATCGCTTCATCGACTCATTGATTAGTGCCTTGGCTCATCGATTGATTAATGTACCCTGTCGTTAATTCCTTCACTGCTTCATCGTTTGATTAATTAATTCGCGCTTTCATTGGTTCATTCACCCATTTATTCCTTCGTTCGTTCGTTCATTCAGTCAGTCATTCATTCAAGCATATTGAATTTCGTGCGCGGGCTAAAACTCAGAATTTGCGATCGCTGGACCGTGGAAACGTGTTTGAAAAGGCATGGTTTGAAAAACCCGAGCTGCTTGTAGACTTCTTTTGGCCGAATAAGAGTTTTGAACACTTATGGGCCAAAATTCTTATCATGTGTCCATATCATCCAGCGATGCTGACTTTGGCGCATTCCATAGAGCCATTTGCTTTGATCCATTGATCGCAGGTCAGAATGACACATGGATTTCTCAATTGACACACCTCACCTACCCATGCCCTTCAATGCCAATCGTACCACACTACATATGATTGCAAAATGATTTTGAACCGCATGATCCATCAACAGCACCTCAAGCATCCTGCAGTCAGGTTTAGCGGGGGCATTACTTGATTGAATTTGTTTAGGCAATTCGTATGAAATTCCAAATCAGAAAAGCATATGAAGAGACCCCGATTTGGAAGAAATTCGGATTATATCAATTTCAAATCAGAAATGCGTTTCTTTCGAAATTATGACTACACTTTTTCCAAATCAGAAATTTTGATTCCAAAAACTGAAATTTCAAATCAGAAATTCTGATTCCGATTCAAAAAACAAACAAATGATCCCCGATCTGAAACTATGATTCCAAACCAAGAATTCTGATGCCAAATGAAAAGAAATGTTCCTAGAATTTTACTTGGGAATCAGAAACGCAAATGCCAACATGTCACTTTCACACAATATATGTTCCAACCTTCAAGGGGGGATTAAAAACAGCAACATTCAAACTTTTGAGCATACATTTTGTAAAACTGCATCTTGGAATCAGAATTTCTGATTTCCTTCAGAAGAATTTCTGATTCCATCAGTCGTAATCTTCTGGCTCCATCATAGTGAGCCAGGGCAGATGCAGATACTGTAGATATTTGATTTCTGCATATTTCTGCTCTATATTCAGTGTAATTTCGCCCTTCTTGGCGATAACCCTTCCCGCCGACTTGAAATGAAGCATATGAAGCCACCACATCCATTGTGGTGTGAAATGGACAATCAATGAACATCATCAGCCGATGTCAAACTCAGTGAGAAATTTCCGGAGATCATCGGATATAACGATGCCTATTTTGTAAGAAAACAGTTGATATTGTTCTCAATATTTTGATATATGTTGCATATCTTGCAATTTGGGTTCATACACTTTTTGCATTCTCACTGGACATTCTTTAACATCTTTCGGTGACATTTCCCAGGCATCGGACGTGTGAGCACGACAAGTGTTTTCAAGCCACGTTTTTTACAAACCGTTTTTGTTGAACACTTCCAAGGTGAACACACACCCAAAGTGAGGGTTGAACACATATCGACCCTAAGACCCCAGCGCGCGCGAAACTTATTAGTCAGGCATTTCATAGGCATCTCAACACCCATTTGTTCATTCGTTAACGCCCTTCACAACTTCAACATGTCATTGCTTCTGCATCTCACAAACTTTCCGAAAAAGGCCATTGCTTTCTTATCGCCAGTGCTGAATTTTCTTCGAAACTTCCGCCCCGGCACGGCCGGTTGCACTATCTGCCCGTTGCTGAACATCACCGGGGGGTGCATGCAACCAACCTGTGACCAAAGTGCACAACTTGGTAGCACGGGGATTCTGTAAGGATCTCACAGGCTTCCAATTCGCACTCTGAGGACGATGACCAGCGACATGGGGTGGAATGCTCCTTGACCAAATGTGTATAGCATTTTTTTTTTCAGAACAGCGCATGTATTTCAGCAGAAATGGTAACTAGGAAAGGACAGCCACCTCGAATGTATAGTAAGGCCACGTTTTGTGAATGCTCATGCATGCTCGCTCATTTGGTTAACAATCAGCAGCATTAAGATGCATGTGTGAATCTGGAAAAATGCACTTGTGCAGTTTGAACAAACTTTCCAATCCGTCCTTCTGAAAGATGCAGCAGATATGCCATGGCAGTCTGGTCGTGCCTAACGTTGGATGCTCATCCATCGCTTTAAGACCGATAAATATTTTAGATATAGCTGGGGGCATCCCAGGTAGCAAAAGGTTCACAATTCATAACTGAGGAATAGCAAACCGGTGTGTGTATTTTCTTGTTTCTCTTTGAACATCTTAAACGCATCCCGTCCCTGAATATCTCAAAGAAATCGAAATTTTATGCAACATGTTACGCAGCTATTTTAGCCTATTTTATGCAAGTAGTGACAGGGAGTGGACTGTTCCCCCAGTGTTGTGCACTTTTTTTGCATCTCAGATGACAACATATCGCCCCATTGAAAAACAAGCGATGCTGTTGGTGACGCACGGATTGCATGAAATGTGTACATCGTTCACATATCCGTGAGTACAACGCTTCAGATATCTCACACACATGATCTTACACATATCTTGTTACACGCTTATCTTGTTTTGGAGCATGATCTTTTCGTTGGAAAACAGGTTAAACATTGTATTGTCCCTTGTGAGGCTGTGGGAAACTCTGAAAGTCAAGGTGTGCTTTTTTTTTGTTTCCTGCTTCAAACCTGCACTGCACAGTGTAATCTTTGAATTGATAGAGATTTCGAGGCTTCAGCGCCTTCATTGTTGTTTCTCCGAGACGATGATGAACGGGGCGGGCGGGTTTTCGAGCGGATCAAGAACGCTGGTGGCTCAAGCGCAAGTTTGGGGCAGGGTGGACCCTGAGTTCCGTATTTCCACGGCTCCGTTCAATCTTTGCAGTAAACGAACTTGGTCAATAGGATAGGCAAATCATTCAGAAATTGGAGATTGCCCATTACTAGGTGAGATGGCAATGTACTGTAGAATGTCATTTCCGATTTTCCCCTCTGCCCGGTGTGCAGCTGTCTCCAGTCCGTGGAAACTTCAAGCCGAGGTGTCTCAGTTCTAGAAATGTTCAAGCCCGCCAAGGACCCTGGGAGCTCTGCTATTGCAATTGAGCAGTGGCCTTCAGTTGCCTTTTCGAGGGTATAGATGGTATAGTTCTATTTGTCAAGAAAAAATTGGAGTTCAGAGAGTTATCAGGGAACACTTTGCACCGCAAACTTTTGGCAGCCACCCCACTGCGATATACTGCGATCTACAGAGCGTGCTCCAGTAGCCTTGCCATAGCAGTTCCAATGCGATAAAAACAATCGGAGGTTGGAAAGCACGAAAAAAAACACGCACGTAGCTTCAGCAAACAGAGGTTTGACATGGTTTGACGGGATTCAACATGCGATTTGCAAAACAGAGTTTCATGCTTTGATAGTGCAAGAATCCTAGCATCAGCCACTGACATTGCCTCTACAGTTCCGCGCTCGACAGCGGGAGGTTGCAGCACGCAGCAGCAGTGAGGCGGCCAGGTAGTCACTACCAGGCTTTAACTCAGATTGCCCAACCAATGTATGTTGATCATACAACTGGTGAGCCAATCTTTGTTAAAACGATTGCTCATTCCGGGCAGCTTTATTTAATTTATGCTTATGGCATTTGAGTTCGGCGTAAGTCACTGCAATTCTTGCCCGATCTGGCTTTCGTTCAAAAAAGACAAGCGCACACACACACACACCCACACCCACACCCACACCCACACCCACACCCACACCCACACGCACACGCACAACACGCCAAAAAAAAATGAGAATTAAAAAAAATCTAATAGGAGTGGAGGAGAGAGAGAGAGAGAGAAAGGGGAAAAAGGACCAAAAAAAAAAAAAAAAAAAAGCGAAACCCACAAAAAAAGGGGAGAAAAAAAAAAGCAAGAAAAAATAAAAAAAAAAAATAAAAAACAAAGAAGGAGTGGGAGAAAAAGTGTGGGGCCGCTCACGCGGCCGGGGGGGCGGTTATTTGCCACATATATAATACATACACATATACACATATATACTCTCCTTTCCACCCCTCCAACCTCGCATCTCTACGTTATTTGCAGCACTTGAGAGCCACGACCTCGTCAACGGACCTTGTCTAGTATATTTCTATCATAACCTTTGTTTCGAACCGCCTATAGCGTGCCTCGCACATGGTTTACAACATATTTGCTACCTATGGATTACGCAAAGCTTACCTATGCAAACCTAGACATATGTACAGTAGAAAAACAATATATATATATATGCACATTCTAGATACTACATATTGATATCTTGATCTTGTATCTATCACATATTTCGTTTACATTGTACATACTGTACACGTATGTATATATATAAAGAGGAGTAACCATGGCCGCTAGGTAGTGGTACGACGGTTTATGCGTACACATGAATACGCAGCCATTTGCGTCTCAAGCCCAAATCCGGCGAGGTCCCTCACGGGGGAGATGCCAGGACCATGGGTTCAGGGAGAACTGAACCCGGGTTGGCTTGCAAGCCAGGATTACCCGGCAGGGTCCTTTGTCGAGTTCAATGCTTCCTGGCCGGGAGCTAAGGCTCGGTGCCGGGCGCTGGCAACAGTGATCAGCTCCCGAAGCAAAGGTGATGCAGGAACCTGGCTTGCAATTCAAATCAAATGTGTTGAAAACGGTGACCTCCTACACTGGCTTGGCATTGGAGGAGGGGCGAAGCTGAAGGGTCGCTTGGAGCTTCACCTTTGTCATGGCAAGGCTGCAGAGTGCAATACGGTGGTAGACGGAATGATATCAGAGATTCACACCGACACCTTAAGGAAAGTTGAAGGACAAGATCTCGTCGACAGAGCCTCCGGGTGGTGGACAGCTGACCCAGCAAGGTCTGACTTTGAGGCGCTGCGGGCACGCATACTGGCTGGCAGAAATGCCAAGGCTAAGGCCTCGATATCTCGCAGTGCGGCAGTCGAGGTTGCCCCGGAGTTAAGGGAAGCCCCTGGCTCCTATGCGGCAAGTCATACATCCCCGCACAGCTCAAGGGCGAAGAGGGATGACCAGCCTCACCGCAGAAGGGAACGCCGGAGGGCCGAGGATGGTGGGCCTTGCGATGATGACACTGGTCCATCTTCTAGGCGCGCGCATGGCCGTGCCAAACCAGCATTGTCTCCAAGGCATGGCCGCGTGAGTCATCAGCACCGAAAAAGGAGCGCCAAAATCACCTGATGACCGAGATTGCCCTGATCCTGCACCAGCCCGGCGACCGGCCTGTGGCACGGCTAGGGAAGGCCTTGGGCGGTGCCAGTCCCACGGGACGGACTCGGGCCGTTCTAGCGACGGCCTGAGCTCACCTGATTCGGCCAGGAGAGGCGGTCCCGGATCGGGAAGCAGATCTAAACGACAGCGCGTGGCCAGTTCGTCTGGACGCGGTTATGGCAGATCCTGGGCTACCCCGTCCCCGTCACAAGCTGAGATGAGGCCACGGCCGCCGGTTGACCTGCGGGAAGGACCGACAGAAGGTACCCGATTGCGTAGTCGCAGCCCCATTGTTAGACATCGTTTGGCAGGTTTGTTGGTCGAGGCGAAGGATTGGGCGACACAAGTACTCGATGGTATTGGCGATTCTGAAACCGAATGTTGGGACCCTGGCCTTAGAGTTGAAAATCGAAGTGGGTGTGCCGACTGGCGCGCACAGGCCAGGGCCATTCTCACGAAGGGTTCCTCCTTAGGGAGTGTAGGAAGCCATCTAGCGGATCTCATGTTGGCATCGGTTGGACCTCTTGGGGATTTTACGCGCCTGTTTTGTTCAACGCAGCCGCCCCCGGCCGTGAGGCCATCGGCAAGGAGGCGCGGTGAAGTACTTCCCATTCCCCTTGAGGCCATAACCACAGAGCTTGAAGGCGTAGATCCGCACAACCTGGACTGGGTGAGAGCTACGGTAATGGTGCTGAACTACTTGTATTGTGGCGGTGGAGCCAAGTCAATGGGCGTGCCGATTGAGCCTTCGCTACAGGAGAATCAGCGAATGGCTGTGAGGAGATTAGGAGAAAACCTCAGGCGTCTCGGCCTTGCTGAACCAGTCCGCATCCCCTCGCTCGAGGTGGTCCGTGCACAGATGGGCCCTGAGGGATGCAGTGACTACGGAAGGCCGCTTCAATGTTTGGATGTCTTGGACGCTGAAAGGGTTATTGCGGCGCGGCCGCCGGTTGGATCCGCTGGAGTTGTACCCATTGTTGAGTTGCTCAGCGGGAACCTCTCGGACGTTGTCCGTGACCCCACGGGGTGGTGGCTTCCCGATGACCTGAAGCCACAGAAAAGGACCCGATCTGACGTTATGGCCTCAGATGAAGCGTGGTTCAGCATCTGTCAAGCTGGCCATGCACGCAACTTGATGAAGGTGGTATCAGATGACCAACTTCACAAGGACCGTGAGGGTCATTACATCACCATTGGGGCCGGAGGAGTGTCAATGCTGATAGAAACAGGGAACCAGCATTTTGATGCGCAATGGGTTCATCCCTATCATGTTGCCCAGCAATGAGCATGTGGAGGAGCTACCTCAACGCCGGGACGCCTTCCCCTACGGGGGGTTGTTTCAAGGAGTTATTCTTCGTGATTGCTAAGAGGTGTACATGGAATCTTGGCCATTGTCACAGGCATTGTTGCTGTTCTCGGTCCCGGACCGGTGGCTCCCACATTTTGCCTTCTCAAAGAAGGTCTGCGCTTCGGCGTTTGGTGGAACGAAAGGAGTTCTAGTGAGGCCGGCCTGGAGGGTGCTGCCCTGCGGTTGGAAAAATTCGTTGAATTTGGCCGAAGAGGCGCTTCGTCACTTGGTGTTTGGAAAGTGCGGGGTGCCAAGGCCCAGACCAACGGGAGGCCGTCTACCCCGTCAGCAGGATGAGCCACTCGCGGTGGAATGCGTCGATCCTGTAGAGGAGATGAGCTGCTTGAGGAAGTTCGGGAAGGAACTGGAGGCTGGAGAAGTTTCCGAACTGCACCGCAGATTTACGGTCGTGTGTGAGTCGGTGGGCCTTCCGCCTGCGGTGGCTAGGCGACTGATTCTGTCTCTTACGAGAGTGTTCGATGTTTCCGTTGTTGATGATCATACAGGAAGCTTGCGGGCATCTAGGGCAGAAGTCATGGACTTTGTATCCTGGTCCCTGAGCTTGCTCCAGTCTGAGGTATGGAACCAATCGCAAGTACGTCAGTGGGCAGGCAAGGCAATCTTCATGGCGACGTTCGATCGCCCTTTGCTCTCAATTTTGGAAGAGATGTTCCCGCTGGCCGTGACTGGTATCCGCGGAGGATTGGCGCCCAGTTCGAAGAAGAATGAAGAGATGATATGTTTTCTGGTTTTGTCCTTGCAGGCTGGCAGGCCCCTGAAATTCAGTCTGTCGGATGAAATCTCTTGCACCCAGGTTTCGCCCATGGGCGGGAGCTGCGCTACGGCGGTATCCTTCCTCGACAGAAGTCTAGAGGTTGCGCCAGCAGAGGATGCCGAGGATTCGTGTACGGCATGCGGCAGCGAGCTCAAGCTAGACAGAGCGATCTTTCCTTGCCCATGGGCGTGTGGAAAAAGGGGATGCTCAATCGCATGCGCCCAATCGCACTTCGAGCAGGGGGAGTGCCCGCGCCGAAGTTTCGGTGTTCCTCGCTTTGGGGAGCGGTTCGCGGGGGCAAACTTCCCCCTCACAAAGTCGGTCGCTCTGGCGGGTGGCGCCGTTCAACGGCCCCTGGACATCCTGATCAAAGACAACTCCTGGGACTATTTTTCGGAGCCTGGGAAAGCAGCATTGGAGTATCTCGAGAAGGACCCGGCCCTACGTTGGAGGCACTGGGCACCGGACAGCTTCACCTTTGTAAAATCAAAAAGTCGCCCGGATACTAGGAAAGGAAAGGGCAAGAAGAAGGGCCCAGTGCGGATCCGGTCTGAGGAACAGCCGTGGGGCGTTGACGGTTTGTCTAGGCTAGGGACGACCAGGTGAGGGTTCGGCACGAGAACAAAATGGCGAAGCGTAGCCTGAAGAGCCTGGAAGCAGCAGATCGCCAAGGCGGGTTCGCGGCTCTTGAGCACCCCTATGACTCCTGGCTATGGAACACGGAAGAACTTGAGGAAGTTCAGTCGCGACCAGGCTTCATGATCTCTACCTGGTCCTTCTGTTGCTTCGGGGCCCCCAAGCCAAGATGGGCATCATTGCTACACAACTCGCCACGGGTGCACCAGGCGCTTCACCGCCCTAAATGCAACTGCAATCCCTCTATGGAGGTGTGTGATGACCCCGAGAGAAAGGCCGCTGAAAGCAGAGAAACTGATGAGTACCCCTGGCGCTTCTGCTTGGCGTACGCTGAAGCCATCATGGCGGATCTGAAATCGTTGATGATCCCACCTCTGGGGACGGCGCAGTTCGATCTGCCCCACCTCCTGTATAACCAGATCATGGGATCGGCCAGGGGAATGCAAAGTGAGGACCTGGTCTACAAGCTGGTCATAGAAGTGGAGCAGATGGTGCGCCACATGGAGTTGGGCGATGAACGCAATCACCTGATTAACTTGGCGAGGCATTTGAAGCTGAAGGGAACGGATCATCAGTTGCTGGGGCCAAAGGAGCTGGCCAATGGCAGGGAGATGTTAATCCCATACCCTGCGTTCCGGTGGAGATGGGAAGTTCAGATCGCCCAGGCCTGGCCGTCTGAGCGGAGTGTCAGGGTGCTGGAAGTGATCTTGCTTCTAGCCGAGCTCAACCGCCGGGCCAGGTCCCTCCGTAACAATGGCCAGTTGTACATCAACATAGTCAACAGTGAGCTCTGCCTCTGGGCAATCAACAAAGGGCGTTCATCGTCTTTACGAGTGAATCGAGTCCCTCAAAAATTGATCACGCTGACCATGGCCACGGGCATCAAACCTATTATGGCCTGGACGTTGTCCAAGTGGAGCCGTTTCGAAAGTGGGTCATTGGAACCATCCGCGTGACAGGTTGGACCAAGCCGTGCTGCCTTGAGGGCTGGGTGGCCATGATGAAGTTTCATCTGGCTCACTCAACAGATCTACTGGTCTCTAGCTCTCTACGTCTCTCTACGGAGATGGCAAGCCCGGGCTCCAATAACAGCGAAGGGCCAATCGAGGCTTCGGGCAACGGGGTCCTGACTCTCAACCGCTGAGACAGGGTCCTGACCCTCTTTTTCGCTGGGCCCCGTCGAAATAATTTCTTTTGAGGGCCAATGTTTCACAGGCACTCCAAAGTGTCACTATGAAATTGGGGAGGCAATTCCCCCATTCTTGCATGGTATCATCAGTTGTCAGCGCTAGTCTTTTTCTTGTCGCGGGGCTCGATGCCCTTCTTTGCTTTCACCCTACGGGGTTGTTGCATCCTTTTGAAGCGACCAAACTTGAGGCCGGCAACTGATGACTGTCTCACCCTTGTACAGCTCGTTTGCAGTTGAGCTGTTTCAGTGCAGTTGGCTCCTGCCGAACACATTTCTTCTTTCCATAGGGAGACAAAAGGACCAACTCACGGCAAGTCTCTTGAGATGTGCTGGTATTACCCTCTTGAGGGTTTAATCGATGGTCCTCCACTACCATAGTATGTGCCATCCCTCTTTATCAAATAGCTACGCCAAGTTTGGAAAAGTGGGCAGGTTGGTGCTCCTGTTTTTCTTGGCTCTTGAGCCTGGTTTTCTCGTCTTGGGACAGGTGGGTGCTCTTTAGTGCCCCTGTCTGGGGCAGTTGTGGTTCTTGAGCCGGCTCTTTAGCCGCTGCCCCCTCTTTGGGTTTTCCTTCTCGGTTGCCTTTTGGCTCTTTCGCCCGTGGTGGCTGGCTCTTGGGCCCTCTCTTTTGGTTCCCCCTTTTCCTCTTCTGTTTAAAACAGCTTGATGGGCAGGTTGGGGTTTCTTGCTAAGGCAAGTCCGCCTTCGGGCGTGGTCCCTGGGGTGAATTCCCCTAAATTGTAAAGGCACTTTTTTGTGCTCCGTTTTCACCCCAACCTTGATTCCCAAATCGACTGCGTTGAAAAATGTGGGCTAGCTTAAAAAGAGGAGTAACCATGGCCGCTAGGTAGTGGTACGACGGTTTATGCGTACACATGAATACGCAGCCATTTGCGTCTCCCTTCCCCCCCTAACCCTGGGCAGGTTGGGGTTTCTTGCTAAGGCAAGTCCGCCTTCGGGCGTGGTCCCTGGGGTGAATTCCCCTAAATTGTAAAGGCACTTTTTTGTGCTCCGTTTTCACCCCAACCTTGATTCCCAAATCGACTGCGTTGAAAAATGTGGGCTAGCTTACATATATATATATTATATACATACATGTCGGCCAAGAAACCATTCCTCCAGCAACAATCGGCTTGGCTGCTGAGAAAACCCCCCCTCCCCTGCCACAGGGGGGGGGGAACCATCTGGCTGGGGGGGGAGGGGTGTGGGGGTCCCTGCTCATATATATTATATATATATAAACAACTTATATTTTATATAACTTATAATGTATATATATATGTATATTATAAAGCACACACACATACTTATGTTTTTATGTATAAATGCCCACAAAATTATGGATCCGTTGGGTTTATCCTTGAAGGTGTTAAGATGGTATATTTTGTGGTCGTGTTCTTTTTGCAAAGCTTTTTGAACATTTTTGAAAAACATGCAAAAAACATCCCACCGGAGGGATTTCCGGGCTCACGGAATGAGTATTTTAAGCCAAGAACATATGTTTCACCATAGCGCCAAGCTGATTTTCTAATTTGATTTTCATGTGATTTTGGGCTGCCGATTTGAGGTCCCGCATTTACAACTTTCTTGCCCTTGGAACAGAATTTTCTGAGTGATCAGAATGGATGGGAAGAAACGCAGAGCATCACTTGGGACAGTGCACCTGTCCTTTTCACCTCGCAAGTTTGGTGCCTCATGCACTGCTGCGCCTTTGACAGGCATGCGATTGTGCATGTAGGAACCATGTAGCATGACATCTCTTCTGCATATAGCATGTAGCGCGACGTCTCGCGTGCATGCAAGAAGCATGTAGCATAACAGCTCCAGTGCTTGTAACATCATGTAGCCTGACATCTTCTTTGCGTGTAACATCATGTACAGTAACAGCTCGTGTGCTTATGACCTCATGTAGCGGGACATGGATGAAAGCTGGCTGGTCTCCCACTCTTGTCTCCCTTTATCGTCGCTGCCTTCGCTGACGCTGCTGGCTTGTCCCCCTTCATGATCGCATCCTTGGGGTCTCTATCGCCACCGCTGCCGCCTTGTCTCCCAGTTTTGTTTCCTTCATGATTGCGCATGGGGGTGTCTTCGCCGCCGTGTCTCGTATGTCTATTCTCCCTTCACAGTCGCTGCCTTGGGGTTCTCTTCGCTGCCTAGTCTTGTCTCACTTCATAATGTGCTTTGGAGCATGGGTGGTGGCGCCGCTGCAGGGTGCAGTATGAGCTTTGGAGCTTGAGTGCTGGTGCCACTGCAGGGTGCAGTTTGCGCTGCAAGCTTGGGTGTCGGTGACGCTGCAGGGTGCAGAGTGTGTTTTGGAGCCTGGATGCTGCGGCAGGCGCCGCTGCAGGGTATTGCTGCGGGCTGTCTTAGCAGTGTGCGCAAGACAGTCCTAGCAATTTGTGCACGCCCGTGATGTTGCGGTTACATTTGCATGTTCAAGCTTGCAAGTTGCGACGTGATCTTGATGCTATCGCGCATGCCTCATGTTCTCTCCATGTTCTTGCCGTCGACGTGACCACGTTCATCCCGTTATAGTTTGTCTCTGGATGCGCCCCCAAAGATTTGTTCAATTTTACTCTAAGCTAATGTAAATATGCCGGTCACTTTTTGGACGAAGAAATTGCGGTTAATCTCAGGTGTTCAGTCAGGAATGGATCTGTACCCTGGTAAAGAATTTTGCATGATGAAGGTGGGAAACTGACTGTGTTATATTTAATAAAGGAGGGCTATTTTTTTCGGGATTGTTTTTTGTTTTTTTTCTCCAGCCTGGCTTTGTGGCTTTTGTGGCTTCTGTGGCTTCTGTGGCTTCTGTGGCCTTTGTGGGTGTGTGGCTTTTGTGGCTTTACCATGCTTTACCATGCTTTACCATGCTTTACCTATCTATCTATCTATCTACCTATCTACCTATCTACCTATCTACCTATCTACCTATCTACCTATCTACCTATCTACCTATCTACCTATCTACCTACCTATCTACCTATCTACCTATCTACCTATCTATCTATCTACCTATCTACCTATCTACCTATCTACCTATCTACCTATCTACCTATCTACCTATCTACCTATCTACCTATCTACCTATCCACCTATCTACCTACCTACCTATCTACCTATCTACCTATCTATCTATCTACCTATCTATCTATCTACCTATCTACCTACCTATCTATCTAGCTATCTATCTATCTATCTATCTATCTATCTCTATCTATCTATCTATCTATCTACCTACTAATCTAATCTAATCTAATCTTATCCTATCCTATCCTATCCTATCTAATCTATCCTATCTAATTTATCCTATCTAATCTATCCTATCTAATCCTATCTAATCTATCCTATCTAATCTATCCTATCTAATCTATCCTATCTAATCTATCCTATCTAATCTGTCTATCTATCTATCTAATCCTATCTATCTAATCCTTTCTATCTAATCCTATCTATCTAATCCTATCTATCTAATCCTATCTATCTAATCCTATCTATCTAATCCTATCTATCTAATCCTATCTATCTAATCCTATCTATCTATCTCTATCTATCTATCTATCTATCTATCTATCTATCTATCTATCTATCTATCTATCTATCTATCTATCTATCTATCTATCTATCTATTATCTATCTATCTATCTATCTATCTATCTATCTATCTATCTATCTATCTATCTATCTATCTATCTATCTATCTATCTATCTATCTATCTATCTATCTATCTATCTGTACACACCTTGTATCCCTACATGTACCTTAATCCAACCCGGAACTGACTTTAAATCGACCATAAGCCAACCCTAAATAACAATAAAGAACACTAAATAACCCTAAACTAACCATAAACCAACCCAACATAACCCTCCCTAAATAAACCTTGAACCAACCCTAAACTAAATAACCCTAAACCAACCCTAAATAAACCCTAAATTAACCCTAAATAAACCCTAAATAAAACCTAAACCAACCCTAAACCAACCCTAAAGAAACCCTAAACCAACCCTAAACAAACTTTAGATAAACCGTAAACCAACCCTAAATAAACCCTAGTTGGTCAATGTTTTTTGGGTTCCAACATTCCAAGGTAAGTTGAATGAGTTTGTGTATGAAACCATGATAGCGAAACTTCCGATTTCGGGGCGTCGCTGTGTGTTGCGCGGAGGACTTTATCTGTCCGCCCCACCCCTGCGAACGAAGTGGCAAAATGGACTTATTATTGCAGTTTCCTCAAGGTGAACAGTGGTGGTGTTTGAGCCAGCTCCATTGCTCCCTTGGGCTGACCGAGAGATCCGTCGAGCCAGGCCGGACCTTTTTTCGCATGTGTTTTCCTGTCGTGCAGCACACACATTCGCGGAGCCATATTCCGTTTGTTGTCAAGGTGCAGATGTCAACCGCCGGGCTGACATCACAGAGGAAATGATGAAAACTCTGCCTCCAGTTAAGCGCACCTCTGTTTCTTGGTTTGTCCCTTGGCGCTTGGAGGGCCTGGAAGGCGGGTCTTCGAAACTTGGGGCACGTTGGTCAGGCGGTGCTGCCGTTTCAATGTTTCTTCCCAGTTCTCGGGCCAAGGTCGCAGCGGCATGCGCAGAGCCCTCACTGCATTTGGTGGGCGATATGACTGTCTTCAACTATGTTTGGAAAGCTGGCTTAGACCTTGGAATTGTCCCTGGGACGAGCTAAGATTGCTGCTATTTGATGCTATTTGCCCATTTTCAGATTAGCTTCGAAGACGCATTGTCGCACGCTGTAGATCCCACAGCTAT